GAGACACGTGCTTTCGGATGTAGTGAACGCACTTGGCTCAACGTACAAGCCTCACCGCTCGATGCAACCGCGCACATTTGAATATTAACACCGTCTGTAAATGCTGAGCTATAAATGAGCGATGCAATTCATTTCTGAATGAACAGATACATACATTTATACGTTTTAGATACGCACGTAAATAGTTTAATATAATAGTTATTACTGTACAGTAGAATTATATTAAAACGTTACTTATTTATGTAGCATTACCATGGATGGGTCTTTCTTTATAAAGTCTGCTTTCCAAACGCGTCCAGGAAGTGGAATCGTCCGTTCATAAATTGTCCAAGCATTTAAAGCACCAACCTTCCTGAAAATGAGGTCTTGAGACTCAGATTATACTATACCTATGTATTACTACAACGATCAAACATACTTTTCGCTTTTTCATTTTGCCTAGAATGTAAATATTCGACTCGATGTGTGTACAACGTGAATGGTTCTGTATGTGTAACATGAACGCTTCTCAATAAATAACGTGAACGCTTCTCCGTGTACCATGTGAACGGTTCTAAATTAATGTACAATGCGAATGGTCCGTAGTGCCCTGGTCGTTGTTATTACATTACAAGAACAAAACGTATCATATCCATATGGCATCGTTCATATAACTCAGACACGGGGAATTGTATAGGTTTGATCTCGGTTGTAATGAATATGCAGTTCAGACTCCGCGAGACAACTCTCCCCATCCTATGTATGACTTTGTGCACGCGTTTCCGTCCCGTCATTATCATTCGTAACACATAGGCATACAGTGGAATTAATTTCTGTTCATATTATACTCTACTTACAACCACGAACACACAACACAGCCAGATTGTTGTTGTTCCAATTATAAACAAAACTATTTAATCTGAATTGTCTTCATCAGTGTCGTCCTCGAATATCGAGGCGTGAGAAATGTCAATTGCGTAACGCTGGGCGCGCTCGCCTCTTCGGACAATAGCTGAATAGGACGAGTGACAACGGGTGACGACTCTAGTCGTCGTATCGGCCAGACGTATAGGCTATGGGACTGCTGGCTATAGACTCGTGCTGACTCTAGAGTGGAATTCACGTCGGTCTCGACGTTTCTATAATTCGTGCTCGAGCGTGCATGTATCTTCGTCTGTGCATGAATGTATCGAGTGGGGAGTGGTGGCGCGGTGGTTAGCGCGAGTTCGATTTCCGCTCACGGCTAACACTATTGACGAGCTATTGACTGAACCAGTCCTGGGCCTACCCTGGGTCGATTCAGCCTCAAATGAGTGGTGCTGGCCACCCACTCCCTTGTGTGCATTACTGGCCTTCAGAGGTGCTCGCTAACAGCACTTGTCCCCAACAGTCTCTTAAGGCTATACGGGGGATCTTTGTCATATTGTGTGCTGTATATAAGTATGCGTGTGAGCGCATTTGGGAGTAAATATGGTTGACTTTTTACGTAAGTATACATGCCGGCCAATGCAAACCTCCACAGAGCACTTACTCCAAGTCTGTAAAGACAATACGGGGGATCTGTGTTTGTGTATGTATGTGTATACGATGTGAGCACATATGCAGGCCAACACGTGTGTGTGTGTGTGCGTGTGCCGCATCGGCCTTCATATGTGCTCGCTTACAGCACTTACCGAAAATAATCTGTTAAGGCTATACGAGGGATCCATAATAAAAAATGTTTTGGGTTAAATCGCGTAAATATGTGTCGTTAAACCTACCAGCACCGGACACAGCCAATTAGTTAGGGTTGTCACGTAAAGAGAACACGTAAACAGAACATGCCAACTCTTACTGATTGGCTTTGTCGGGTGGTGGCGGGTTTAACGACACGTATATTTACGCGATCTAAGCCCAAATAGAACTGTATTATGGATGATATTGGTCGCGAGAGCCTTCGTGTGATACGAGGGAGATGTTTGTCTGTGAATGTATGTATCGTGATTGGCGGTGCTATAGTGGATCAGTCACTGTTCTTGAAAACGAAGATTTAAAATGTCCAGTAACCATAGCGACTTGAAGAACAAAGCACATTTAAAAAAATGAAATGTATATACTGTATATATAACGTCGCGAACCTGACATCCGCTTCCCCTACGTCGACTCAGCATAACAAGGGAGTTCTACGGCTGTGGCGTTGTTCAAAATCACCATTGGACTCAACAAAGGCGATCGGGCGAGCGTGCCTCTGCCAATACTGCCCCCTTGTGTGCGGTTTCGGTTTTTAATAGGTGCTCGCTAACCACTGCCCCCTTTTCCGCCGACAATCTGAGGTCGCGTTCAACTCGATATGGTTTCGCATCGGTCGTGTCACGCCAACGAGCGTCGGTTTAAACATTTTAAAAAAACATCAAGTTTTAATGGCACCAAATAAAGTTGCTCACACAGAGCTAGTGACCGATGCAATGGGTCGCGCGCGTCGCGGAATTAGTTAAACATTTGATCAATTACGCGATTGAGAGCGAGTCAGATTGTGACGTAAAATTCCAATTTAATTCGTCATTAACACTGTGCCATGACAAGTAAAGAAAACACAACATATATTATAGGCGACGGTTTGGGCAATGGGCCTTCTTTATACAGAAAAAGGTGCCCAGATTATTGAGGAGCGGCATGTGCAGTGGTTAGGGCATTGCGCCGTGTACGCCGGCGAGCCCGAGTTACGTGGCCCATCACGATGAGTATCGGTGAACGAAATAAAACAACAATAATATCGGATTCGGCGCTGGAACCCCCTTCACCTACGGGGTTGAATGACCACAGCCGCCGCGGCGTATCGGGGAACACCTTCATGCAGCAGTGGATTGACCCGAAGGCTGTAACTTATTGGAATCGTTGTCGTTAACGTTATTGCCGCGCGCGAGTCGTATCACGTGCAATTATATACGCAACGCGGAGTGTCTATGTTACGCGAAATGCGTGCATAATGTGGATTTTAATATTGTGTGTTGTGAACAGTAATAACGCGAGTAAAACAAACCGTGAGAAAAGATTGTATAATATGTAACGTGAAATGCATTATATATGTTCATTTATTATAACGCGGCAAAACTTAACTAGTGGGTGCACGTATACGGGACACACATAGAGAGCCCGAGCAAAAAATATAAACAATAATATTACTACACAATGGCTCTCAAACATAGCGCATGCAATATTCCATCTAAATATCGCGTTATATTCAGGAAATATCGGGTTATATTCAACCAAATAGCCCGCTATATTCCACAAGAATATTGAACTATATTTCACGAAACATCACGTAATATTTCACCAATTATCGCACTATATTCCATCGAATCATCGCACATTCCATTCACATATCGCCCTATATTCAACCCATATATCGCACTAAATATACAAATTTTCCACCCATATATCACGCTACTGTATATTCCACCGATATATCGCACTATATTCTACCATATCGCACTATATATATTCGACCAATATATCGCACTACAATATTATCCTCATTGCTCACGCTCACTACATACGCGCGGTGGGAAATGCGCGATAATCTGTTTCCAAATTAAAACTCCACTCGTCTCGACCCCAGACACACAAAAAAACACCCCACCCTCCCACCCACCACCACCCCCACACATTCACAGCGACCCCTTAAACCCGCGAATACTGCGCGTCCGCGACCGTTCGCGGCTTTTATTTTACGGTCCGAGCGGCGGTTTTGGAAACGCGACAAAATTTACGCACGCACAGAGGGACGGAGAGAGAGAGAGAGAGGGGAGAGAGTAGGGGGGTGGGGAGAGGAAAGGAGAGATAACAGGAGGAGAGTGGACACCGGTTCGTGGTCTTGGACACCGCCAATGTTTTATTTTGTGGTCGTCTTTAGGCCCCTCGCTCGCCAACAGCTCTCGTTCTCTACCGACCACCTCGCCATGTGGACCCTGCACGGCCCGAGACAGATGTTGTTGCATTCGTAGCTCTCGTTATATTTCGTTTTATTATTTATTGGGATTTTTTTATTGTTTGGTTTTTGAGTCATTTTTGCTCCACCGCGTACGCTCGGTGCGCGAGTTCTGAAATTGTTTCGCCTGTGTGTGCCCGCGTGTGTGTGTCCGTGTGAGTGTGTCCGTGTGTGTGTGTCTGTGTGTGTGTGTCCGTGTGTGTGTCCGTGTGTCTGTGTGACCGATGTGTAAACATCGCCACTCGGGAGACAAAGGCGGCTGGGCGTGGTGTTGGCCACCCATCCCCTCGTGTCCCGTGCCGGCCTTTATAGGTGCTCGCTAACAGCACTTGCCCCTACAGTCTGTTAAGGCTATACGGGGGATCTTTGTCTTTGTCCGTGTGTGTGTGTCCGTGTGCGGCCGCGCGTGGTCCTGGCCACCCACCCCCTCGTGTATCGTGCAGGCCTTTATAGGTGCTCGCTAACAGCCCTTGCCCGTATACAATCTGTTAAGGGTATCCGGGGGGGGGGTCTTTGGTTTTGTTGTGTGCGCGCGTGTGTGTGTGTGTGTTAGCCTGCCTTCGATACATTATACATATTTAAAGGATGAACTTTGGATAGCCACGGAAATGTTGACGTCTGCGGTTTATCTCTGCGCGTGCAATTGAGCGTTCGTTTGGCGTCTGTTTGAGTGAAAGTGAAAGCGGACGCAGATAGTGGTCGGCTAACATCGCGCAGAAATAGAAACTTCATCTAAACAAAGGGGGGGGGGGATCCAGGCGGTGACATTATTGGCCTAATTACCGCGTGTACATGCAGTGCGCTGTCCGCGAATAAAATTCCCGACACTGTTACAATTAGAAGGACCCCAACCCCCCCACCCCCATTATTCCATCTTGAGATATATGTATAAATTCGTTTTTTAGTATCATCTGTACTGTCTGTCGCCGGTCACGACCCGCCTATATATTAAACAAATTTCATAGCGGTGTTGACTGCCAATGGTAAAGGGGGGGGGGGGTATAGCGGGTTGTGTGTGTGGGGAGGAGGGGCAGAGGGAGGGGTATATGTGTGTGTGTGGGGGGGGGGTCCCAATATAAAATAACGTATCGCTTTGTTAATGAGCCGCTCGCAACGCTGTATATATATAAATGATGTAATGGCGTTTGATAACTTACGCGTCTTCCTCGGATCATAAAGAGCTGTGAGGCCCGCGCTCCCTTCGCCTTGTTATGTGAGACACTTGCAAAGCGGTCGTTTATAAAGCAGAGAGAGAGAGGGGGGGGGGGCGCTCTAAAGCTATAAAACAGAGAAAAGGCCTTTCCTGCACGCCGGAGCAACGGGAAGTGAAGAAGTGACAGGTACCCCAAAATAGGGGGGGTGGGTGGTGAGGGGGGTAACGGCACCCCCACGCACAGAGATCTTTGCGCAATTTACAGTCCGTGCGGGCACGGGGAAGATGTCTCTTTAGGAACCCCCCCCCAAAATTAAAGGGAGAGCGCAAGAACTTTCAACACCGAGGCCAGAGTTGTCAGTAGCCGTGCAAGAGAAAAAAAAGCGTCAAAAATATAGACGGGTTTTTTTTTAGGTGCGTATAAATAATTCACATCGCGGGTTAATCGGCTTCTCCTGGCGGGATTTTATTTTATCGCGCATGTACATCCATTTCCACGCTGCGTGTTATTCTATCATTTGCTTCAACATATTAATCCGCCCAATATTCCGCCCCACCGTGTGGCAGGAGCAGGCAGTGGAAGGAGAACATATATAGTGAGTGGGGAGGGCTAGGAAGCAATAAATTCCACATGTTCGCGCAGACTTTGAGCGAAAATACATTTGATCGCCGCGTTCTCGAGGTGAGCAGCCCAAATTTTTTGCGGGGCTCGGCAAGCCTTTTAAAAAAAATTTCTAATCTTATTCTAAATAAAAACTCAACAAACCCAACCAAACCCCCTCCGCTTCGCTGAATGGCCGCGTTTACCTAACAACCACGACGGAGCTCCGAGACGCTTCGTCTCCCCCCTCTGGCTTGCTCTCAACATGTGCGTCCGCGGCAGGGGTGTCACTCTCCCCGCTCGCCCCTCTTAATTGGCATGCAGCGGTAACAACCCCCCCGATCGTGCGCACCGCTCGCGTGCAACGCGGGCGCAACCGCGACCAGCCCGCGCGAGTCTACGCAGAGCGCGCGTCCTCCTGCCAGTCGCATCACCGCCGCCGCCGCGACCCCCTCGCCGACTCCCGATGAATTCGTACTTCGCGAACCCTCTCTTCGCGAAGTACAAGGCCGGCGATGCGCTGCGCCCGAGCTACTATGACTGCCGCCTCGCGCCGGACGCCATGAGTGGCCGCCAGGCCGTCTTCTACGGTGCGGGTGCCGGTACCGGAGCCGGAGGAGGAGGAGGAGGACCCCCGGCATTCGAGCACCCGGCCGGTACCGGCGCGGGCACGGGCGGAACGGCGGGAGTTCACCACCAGGAGTTCTACCACAACGGAAGTTCGGCCGCGGCGGCGGCGGCTGCCGCGTACCAAGCGGCCGGTTCGTGCGCGCTGGACGCGGCGGGTAACTTCTACGGGTACCCGGCCTTCCCGAGGCAGCCCGTGTTCGCCCTGCAGCAGGAGTGCGGCGGCGTGGTGCAGTACCCGGGACCCGACTTCAAGTCGTTCGGGCCCGGCGCCGAGGAGGAGGCCGAGTACCCGGGTCAGGGCTCCTCGTCGGCGCAGCTCTTCCCCTGGATGAGGTCTCAAGGTGCGTGGGTGGTGGTGGTGGTGGTTGTGGTGGTGGTGGTTGTGGTAGGTTGTGGGGGGGGGGGTGGCTGGCGCGGGTCGTCTCTGTCCCCTCGATGGCCCTTGTCGTCTCTCTGCACGCGTGCCTCTGTCTCTCTTTGTGTGCGCTCACAATCGTGCGTCTGGCCATCCCCTTGTGTTGTCCTGTCGATGATCTGTGTACGGGGATGGCAATTGCGCTTTCCCTTCCTCGTTGATAACGTCTTACGGAGCAGAACGATTGTCGAGCAAGATGACGTTTCGGGCAACGTTCCCCGTTCATCGCTGCTTGCTGCGTTGTTGCTATGCAATGTTTATTATTCATGTTCTTGTTATAATTACAAATTATTGTGCTCTCTGATTACTGTCCCATTCCTTATTCCGTAGCTTGCCTAACAGCTGCTGTTGCTTTCATTATTTTTTTGTGTCCGTTGCTACTGCCGGTCGTTTGTTGTTGTTATTGTTTGCTTATTTATGGATGCGTCCATTGTGTCGTGCGCACACAAAAGGCAGACGGACGCGCCTGGCGTACGGGCGGGAACCACAATAGCGCAGCCGTCATAGGATCGGAGCCGTCGTCTGCGGGCTACATCGTGGCCAGGGCCCGTCGATAACGAACGCCGCAGCTAAAGGAAGCGAGCGGCCACTGCGTGCAATCAACTCGGAGATGCGAAGCCGATAGCGGGCCTCTGGGGGTCCTTATCGCCGGATAGTTTTTTGTTGTCGATTCTTCTCGTTTTCACGTCACCTATTTAGGCGCGCGCGTAATTGTCCTCAACTGTACGCTGGCTACATTTCATGGGCGCATGTCGGAAGGATAGTGACGTAACCGGTGAGCACGCATCAATATATATGCAGTATATAGACCGTGCTATCTCGTAAAACGGTTGCAAAGTGCGTATTTTATCTGGGTTGATATGGATGACATGAAAGTTGTGTGTTTTGTAATGCGCACGCAGTTACGCGCTTAAATAATCGACAACGTTTGCGCTAGCTCATAATTACGGTAGTGCTATAGCCGGGGTGGGTAACAATACAAGCAGCTGCCTGTCTCTCTTGGATATTGTGTTGAAATTCACCAGTTTGTTGGATCATTTATTTAACAGTCTCTGTGTATATATATTAATAGTGTCCATTGGACCTCTTGCGAAGACATTGGTTGTTGTTTTTAAAACCAATGCGACCAAATATTGCGCCAGTCGTGTTATTGTGTTGAGCGCATTAACTTGTCCATTGGTTTGATCACCCTACTCGTAACACACTTTAACATTTAGATTTTACTTTTACGGAATTTTACACCCACCACCACACTTTTGGAAATTCTGTCAGCGTGTATACCTATGTCTAGAGATGCTGGCACTACTCTGTGTGTGTGTATTCTATACGAATTGCGTGGGTACACGTTCAAGATAAACAATCTTTATAGGCGCAATAAGCTCAAGTGCCACGTTACCACCGTTCCAGAACAACATATGCGACGTCATGAGCCCTACAAAACGCGGTCTGCAACAAATAACAAGACAACTAGTTTATATATTTGGCATCACATACGTTGCGTTATCTGGGCGGAACATTATCTCGGGGGCAAATGTGTGTGCGTGCGCGTGTGGCGATTGGCATTGCTCGTGGTGGCATTGTGCAATGTTTAAATTATTACAATTATTAGTACTGCCTTCGTAAATCATTGACGCGTTGACTTCTTTTTTTATTTTGCCCCGTGCGTGGCCCCTATGCTGCTCTCTCGCCCGTTTCCATCTAACCGCGTGGGGTCGCTGGGCCGATACGGGGCGGTTTCTTCTAAATGCCGAGGCGAAAGAAAAAAAAGGGGGGGGTGGCTTTATTACAAAAATCTCGAGCAAAGCAGAGCGCGGCCACGGTTCATTAAGTAAGGACAATCGTGGTGGCTCAAACGCTCGCAGGGTCTGCCCTGAACCTCGCCTACCCCCCCCCCCCCTGGCTGCCACCACCACCCCACCCCTCCGTGTTTACAGTCACGGCCAAATAAAAAAAAAATATTCCACGTCGTCAAGTCACTCAATGCTCCATTAACCCCACGAAGTGTTTCCAAACGTAAAAATGTTAATAGCGCGCTACACGTACCGTATAAAGAGAAAGGACACGTACGGCGAACGTTGCGAAAGTATTTTTTTCGTTGGGGGGGTGGGGGAGAGGGCATGTTTGTATCAAGTACGCTTCCCGTGCACGTTGTTCCACGGCAGCCTCACGGATTCGTTTACAAGTAAGCGTTTAAGAGACCGCGTTAGCTGAACGCGCGTGCGTGCGTGCGCGCGAGCAACGATGGCACGCAAGGCCAATCAATGTGCTGCCGATAAACTGGAAATGACCCGGTTTAAACTAAAAAATAACACCACCGGCTGTAAATGCTTATTGCGCGTGTGTAAATACCCTCCACACCGTGTGTGTCCACAACAGCCACGGAGTGAACGGGCTTCCGCTAGCAGGCCGCCGGTGACCTCTGTGTAATAATGATGGTGGCCATAATCATCATCATCATCATTATTTTAATATTATACTGCCAATAGAAATGTACCGGCCTCTGTCAATGCACTGCTGAATTCGGTCAAGAGGTCGGGGGGGGGGGGGGCGTGGGGGGTCCGTTCAGATCTCACTCGCCACTGATGTTAGCCGTGGCAGCAAAATCGAACTCAGGGAGAGAAAAAAAACCCAGGTTCATAGAGCAAATCCCACCGATAATTCCCTTTGTTGAATACGTGTGAGGAATGCGCGCGCGTGTGTGTGTCTGGTGCGGGGGGAGCGGTGGTGCAGTGGTTAGCGCGCTGCGATACGAACCTGGCGACCCAGGTTCGATTCCCGCTCAAGGCCAACACCAGTGACGAATATCTGAACCGGTCCTGGGCCTCCCCTAGGTCTACTCAGCCTGAAATGAGTACCTGGTTCGGTGTGTAAACGTCGCCACTGGGGAGACAAAGACGGTCGGGCGTGGTGCAGGCCACCCACCGCCTCATGTACCGTTCCGGCCTTCATAGGTGCTACTCGCTAACAGCACTTGCCCCTACAGTCTGTTAAGGCTATACGGGGGATCTTTGTTTGGTGCAGGGGGAGCGGTGGTGTGGCGGTCAGCGCGCTGCACTACAAACCCGGTGACCCGAGTTTGATTCCCGCTGACGGCCAACACCGGTGGCGATTACCTGAACCGGTCCCGAGCCCCGTTCCATAGGTCGACTCAGCCTCAAACGAGTACCTGGTGCGATTTGTAAAAAAAAACATCGCCACTGGGGGAGACAAAGGCGGCCGGGCGTGGTGCTGGCCACCAACCCCCCTCGTGTGCCGTGCCGGCGTTCACTAGGTGCAGCACTTGCCCCAACAGTTGAAGGGTATACGGATGAGGAGGGGGAGGTCTTTGTCTTGTATGGTGCAGCGTTAAGTTTAAGATGGCACGCACGACGCGGAACTGAACTAAAACTGTCGCGGTTTTATGAACACCCGTGGGGCCAAACTGCCGCAGGGAAACACGCAGCAAAGTCAGCTGAGGCAACCTCAGTCAGGGCGCTATGTCACCCACAGTGCAGTGCTCGCGTGCGCACGTAGGTAGGTGCTCGCGTGCGCACGTAGGTAGGTGCTCGCGTGCGCACGTAGGTGCTCGCGTGCGCACGTAGGTGCTCGCGTGCGCACGTAGGTGCTCGCGTGCGCACGTAGGTGCTCGCGTGCGCACGTAGGTGCTCGCGTGCGCACGTAGGTGCTCGCGTGCGCACGTAGGTAGGTGCTCGCGTGCGCACGTAGGTGCTCGCGTGCGCACGTAGGTGCTCGCGTGCGCACGTAGGTAGGTGCTCGCGTGCGCACGTAGGTGCTCGCGTGCGCACGTAGGTGCTCGCGTGCGCACGTAGGTGCTCGCGTGCGCACGTACAAAGGTAGAGCTCCCCCGTATAGCCCTGCCAGACTGTTGGGGGCAAGTCCTGTTAGCGAGCACCTATGAAGGCCGGTAAACGGCTGGGGGAGGGGGGGGGGGGGTTTGGACAACATCGCTCCCAGCCACCTTTGTCTCCCCAGTGCTGATGTTTACACACCGCACCAGGTAACTTATTTACGGCTGATTCCACCTAAGGGAGGCCCAGAACCGGTTGAGGTATTCGCCACTGTTATTATTGGTGGTGGGTGGAAATTGAACTCAGATCGCTGTGGTTGGTAACGCAGCGCGCTAACCACACTGCACTACCGCTCGCCACACGCACACAAAGGACAAAGACCCCCGTGTAGCCTTAACAGACTATTGGGGAAAGTGCTGCTAACAAATACCTGTGAAGGCCGGAACGGCACACGAGGGTGTCGGTGGCCACCACCACCACGCCCGACCGCTTTTGTTTCCCCAGTGACGATGTTTATGCACAGCACCAGGTACTAATTTAAGGCTGAGTCGACCTACGGGAGGCCCAGGACCGGTTCAGATATTCGTCATTGGCGTTGTGGGTCTTGAGCGGGAATCGAACTCGGATCGCAGGGTTCATAGCGCAGCACGCTAACCGCTACACTACCGCTCCCCACACCTCCCCACACCTCCCCACACCTACACACACCTACACAAACCTACACACACCTACACACACCTACACACACCTACACAAACCTACACACACCTACACACACCTACACACACATACGCGCGCGCACACAGGGAGAGAGCCCCCGTGATTCATGTGCGAGTAGTACATCCGTTAGACGGCGCGCGTGCGTGCGCGTGCGCGCGAGCGCTCGACGATTTGGCAGCAGAATGTTGGAGGCGAGAGGAGTTGTTACCCGGACGAGAATAGAGAGTGGAGATCTGTCGCCAGCACTTTTAAGCGCAGTCTTGTTTGCAGTGAATGAAGAGAGAGAGAGAGATGGGGGGAGGGGCTTTTCTAATGATTTATAATTTTTGCATTTAATGGGCTAGTTGTCAGCACACTCCGAGATTAACAGCACGTGGCGTTATTCGAGAGTAGCGCCGCACACGCGCTGACTTATGATGGAGATTGCTCAGCAATTGACACTGTCTTCTGTCTACGTGTCCGAGCATTGCAAACTTATCAGGTGTATACGTGTTACGTAATGTGTGTATACATATACTCGATAGATAGGTGAAGTGGTATCGATATGTGTGCGTGTTTACGATGTGTATTACGCTTATTTAGTATAGCATGCCAATCAATACACTCACGGATGTATTCGAGTGCGTGTGTGTGTGTGTTTGTATGTGTGCAATTGTGAATAATATTAGACGGTAATTCAATCGCTAACAAGTCAGCCTGTCCACAGTAAACAAAAAAGGGCGAGAGTGGGGGGGGGGCGTCTGGTTTTGTAGCAGATCGTGTGTGGACATCTGTGAAAAAGAGCTTATTAGCTCATCGGATTACTCCATAATAAATACATATTTTGTGTGTGTATCGTGTGTACGTTGTGTGTATGTTTGTACGAGTCATTGTAAGTACGTGCGCTTGCGAATGCTCATTGCACGTGTTCATATGTCGTGTGATGTGTGTCGACTCAGCCTCGAGTGAGTACCTGGTGCGGTGTGTAAACATCGCCACTGGCGAGACAAAGGCGGCCGGGCGTGGTGTTGCCCACCCACCCCCTCATGCGCCGTGCCGGCCTTCATAGATGCTCGCTAACAGCACTTGCCCCAACAGTCTGTTAAGGCTATGCGGGGGATCTTTGTCTTTAATTGCATGTGCGCGTATGTGTTCGTCACCGTATTACTCACGATTCCTCTTCACTTACCAAGTAACGTCTAATAGAGTCTCGAGACTGGTTCTCAGGAGGGCCCTGCATTTCGATTGATTGCAGGATGTTTGGATAATTCCATTAATGAGTCTTTGACACCGAAGTATCCGGATGAGATTTCATCCACCTAATACAACGAAGCTCCACACAGATGGATTCAAGTGCACGCGTGATTGTGTGTGTGTCTTTGTATATCATTGGGAGACGGTAGTATTTTTCGATTTAAAGCTTTCGTGACTGCAGGGATTCATCTGCTTGGTTATTTCGGTAAAGTCACGTAGAAGGGAAGTAATAAAATAATAAAAAAAAACATAATAAAATAATTCTCACGACGTTTCGGCCACAACGCAAGCAGCCGTCTTCACCTGTTGTAGCCGAAACGTCGTGAGAATTATTTTATAATGTTTTATTTTTATTATTTTATTACTTCCCTTCTACGTGACTTTACCGAAAGAACCAAGAAGACGGTAGTATCATTCCTAGTCGGGGCCTTCCCTACGTCGACTTAATATTGAACTAGTAGCTGGCGCACGGCTTTTAAAGATCTCCACTGGGGAGACAAAGGCGTCCGGGAATGGTTCCGTCAAGACCCGACTCCCACACGCGCCAGGCCGGCTTCAATAGGTGCTCGCTGACAACACTTGCCCCAAACAGTCGGTTAAAGGGTCCACAAGGGGGTGACGTCTCCTTTGTCTTCCATGTGTGTGCCTCTGTGCGTGTACAGCGTTTCTAGATGGGGTCGCATCCAGACGATGACATGGACAAATTGCATTGTGACGTGTACACATTGTACGTATGGGTTGTCATAGCAAATACCTGGACTACGATCCGTGTTTGTTCTTTGGTAAGGTCATGGTATTGTCTTTAGGACACGTGTGTGCGTGTGTGTGTGTTTGTGCGATAGTGTAGCGGTTAGCGCGCTGCGCTATGAACCCGGCGACACAAGTTCGATTCCCGCTCACGGCCAACACCAGTGACGATTATCTGAACCGGTCCCGGGCCTCCCCTAGGTCGATTCAGCCTCAAATGAGTACCTGGTGCAGTGTGTAAACATTGCCACTAGGTAGACAAAGGCGGTCGGGCGTGGTGCTGGCCACACCCCCCCCCCTCGTGTACCGTTCCGGCCTTCATAGGTGCTCCCTAACAGCACTTGCCCCTACAGTCTGTTAAGGCTATACGGGGGACCTTTGTTTGTTTGTGCACGTGCTCTTGTGTTGCGCTAGCCACTCGCCCACACGCGATGATGTAACCCGCACGCCATGATGTAACCCGCACGCCATGATGCAGTGCACAGGCTATGATGTGGCCCACACGTTATTACACACTGCACGCTATGACATAGCTCACAATCGATTCTGCGGCCAACACACACTGCCATGTAGACCACACGCTACGCTGTAGCTCACGCTACGATGATGACCTCGTGTTGCATTGTTTTGTTCATTGCTGTTGTCTTTTTTGCTGCTGTTGTCGTGACGTCTTCTCTGTTGTCGTTGTTGTTGTTTTGCTGCTCACAGTGGGGCCGGGCAGGCGACGGGGCCGGCAGACCTACTCGCGCTTCCAGACACTGGAGCTGGAGAAGGAGTTCCTCTTCAACCCGTACCTGACGCGCAAGCGACGCATCGAGGTGTCGCACGCGCTCGGCCTCACCGAGCGCCAGGTCAAGATCTGGTTCCAGAACCGGCGCATGAAGTGGAAGAAGGAGAACAACAAAGACAAGTTCCCGGCCAGGAAGGAGGACATTGAAGAGCCCGCGAAGAAGGCGGAAGAAAACTCGGGCGACGAGGAGTCGCAAGGCACCTCCAAGGAGTGAAGGGGGCGCCGGGGGGGGGGGGGGACGGTGCGGGGAGGGGCGGGGGGAGGACACCGCAAGGGACACGGAAAACAGATCAGGAGCGAGAGGAGGAGGAGGAGGGGGGGGGTGGTGCCAAGTGCCGGAGAGGATTTAAGAGGAGGAGGCGGTGGTTGCCGCGTCCTATTTAAATGTCAAAACTTGCACCCGTGCACTAATAGAACAAGGCGACGTTTTTTTGTTGTTGATCTGAGTAAACGCGAACAACGCGTTTGAAGGCCAAAAAAAAAAGACACGGGGGAGTTTTCGAACGCCTAAATGCTAAGATGGTTTGTCGGGATGTGATTGCTGGGGGGGGGGGATGCGAAGGGGGGAGACGGGAGGGAGAAAGGGCATGGTGTGTGTGTGTGTGGCGGGATGAATTTCAACAAAAAAACAAAACATGGTTCCGGTAATGTTCCGTGAGCGAGGCGATCTGATGCGTCAGAATAACTTCTCTCCGGATGGAAATGTTTGAGCAAGGTTCGGCTCAACCTTGCTCTTCTCTCCCGCTCCAAGCGCCGCCTGCCATAAAGGGGAAGCGGAGTGGGTGGGGGGGGGGTCTCTGCGATGAGCGGATGGATTTGTTTACGAGGGTGCTAGGTGCTGTCTGTGGCTTGTGAAGGACCCACAGAGGGTCGCCCCTCCCGCTCATCCCTCCAGTTACGAATTCCGCCGCCTCCGCACCCCCCCCCCCCCCATCTCCCCGAAAACGTCCACGTTTTATTCTGTTCACCATCTTGTTCACTATCTTGTTCACTATCTTGTTCACTATCTTGCAATGCGGGCGAGGAGCCAGGCGGAGGCGAGAGTGGATAAAGGATTTTGAGAGGCAGAGGGAAGAATGGACGAAGTGGGATGATGATGATGGTGGTAGTGATGGTAATGATGGTAATGATGGTGATGATATGAACCGAGAGGGGGGGGCGGTGGTGGTTGGTGGTGCTGCTGCGGTGAATCAACAAAAAGTAGTTCAGCCCCCCCCCCTCGACCACCCACAAGTACATAGCAGGGCTAGAGGGGGTGAGGTTAACAAGTCGACCAGTAGTCAGTAGGGCTAGAGGGGTGAGATTAACAAGTAAGTCAACCAGTAGGCAAGAGGGGTAGAGGGGGTGAGGTTAACAAGTTGACCAGCAGATAGCAGGGCTATACGGGGTGAGGTTAACAAGTAAGTCGACCAGTAGATACCAGGGCTATACGGGGTGAGGTTAACAAGTTAGTTGACCAGGTGACAGCAGGGCTAGACGGGGTAAAGTTAAGTTAACAAGTAAGTCTACAAGTAGTCGACTGCGACACTGCTTGCGTTGCCAGTTCAGCGGCATGATTGCCTCCGTCAGTCACCGCAGATTAGTTGGAACAGAAGTCTTAGCCTGACCCGCGCGATTTCAGCTTCACTCGAGATTCGTGTCTTTTTGTGTGTGGGGGGGGGGGGGGTGACCACGAGAAACACAGTGCATGTGATGATGTCCGTGTGGAGTCGCTGTCAACAAATATCACGGGTCGAAGGAGCAACTACGGAAGAATAATAATAATAAGGGTGCAGTATTGCCCAACAACATGAGCTACCTTGTCATTCTTCACTTATACGTGTATATTGGTATTTTATATTAAAGCAACAGCGTATTGAAATGCATGTGTGATTACGCTATGTTGTGTACGATTATACCCGTGTTAAAACGCGTGCGCGCGCGCGCGTGACTATGTAATGTTTAGTGAGATGCATTCGTGGTGCGTTCTAAAAGTGAAATCCTCGTAATTTTCGCGTATTATATCTCTCACACACACCAACACACGCCGTCGGTTTGGTTTTGTATGAAATTATTTCGCGTTTCGTTTTTCAGCAAGGAGGATAACAACAAAAAGACGCGTCACTGTCCCATTATATTTTGTGTCACGCGTGGTGCAACAGAAGAGGGTATTTAAGTTACTTATGTAACCGTGAAAGGACGAAATATATTAAATGACAACACCGCACAGATGCAAAATGCCTCCACTCTCACGTGGTGTTCGCGCCCATGCAAACGCACAATATTACAACAAACATCTAAACGCATTTCTCAATGACAACATTGTGGCCTTAAAATAAATATATGTACTATATATACACATCCACTGTACACAATAGGCAACGTTTCAGGAAATGTTCCCTTCTTCTTTCATGTGCCATGAAAAAGGACCATTGCCCAAAACGTCGCCTATCATATATTTGTATATACTTTAAGGCCAACGGTGTTGTTAACGGATGTGTTGTGTTTCTCGCTGCCGGTATTGTTGCTAAGTGTGCTTGCGCACAGCAATACTGCCAACCCACCAACAACGCCATCAGCATCACCACCACCACCACCGAATCAAATGTATTCCGCACCTCCGGTGAGCACGGCTGAACACGTACGGTGCGAAAGAAGTTCAACATACACACGACGCAATCGAGTCAAGAGGCGGTCAAGCGAACGTCTTGAGAACTAAGACAGCCGAAGCAACGACAACAGCAGAGCTAACAGCTTGCCCATGTAACGATTACGACGAAGCGACAAATATACATTCATATCCAGCACATCCATCTATACAGTACACGCACGGCTCCAGATCGTCAGTCCCACCCGCTGAGACTGCACGAACGGGGATTCCATCTACAACGTCATTGCGGGTCGTGGAGATGTATGTGACCATACTTCACCAAACGTATTGAATCGCAAACAGACGAACACGAACATTTTACAGGCGCGTTGATGTCAAGGTTGGGGAAGGGTGCGGGGGGGGGGGATGACGACAATTGAGAAAAAAAATAAAATCCTAAATGTGTATGTTGCTCGTACTTTTAATTCACGTGTTGTTATTGTTGTTGTTGTTCTTAAGGCGCGTTCACCGCCCTCGTGTGTATGCAATGCGAAACATTCCCACTGCCCTTTTGTGTCAAGTCTGGGCTCACCCCCACCGTCTGCAACCCCCCACCCTCGGCTGGTTTTTAGACGAGGGGAGGGGCTGGCTTGACGTGGGGGGGGGGCATGCAATTGAATACCGTGGATAATTAGTATCGCGATTGCTTTGTGCGTACGACCACCAGAGCCATAACAGACTCGGCCAGTGGTTGGCTCGTGAATGATATCAGATTTGCTCTCTGCGTAATATAAAGTGGGGGGAGGGGGGGGGGTGCACAAATGGCACCCGCTCATGGTCGAGCGAGAGCGTCGTCTGGGACGTCGAAAGCTCCACCGAGTGTCACGCTTGTCCCGCTCCCAACACATGACCAGCTACCCCGCCCGCCGATGTTGTTATTGACGGGGAAGACGCTCAGACACACACGCGCACTCAGACACACACGCGCTTACTCAGACACGCACGCGCTTACTCAGACACACACTGACTCAGACACACACACGCACTCAGACACACACTCACTCAGACACACACGCGCACTCAGACACACACTCACTCAGACACACACTCACTCAGACACACGCACTCAGACACACACACGCACTCAGACACACACTCACTCAGACACACACTCAGACACACACTCACTCAGACACACACACTCAGACACACACGCGCGCTCAGACACACACACTCACTCAGACACACACGCACTCAGACACACACTCACTCAGACACACACACGCACTCAGACACACACACTCAGACACACTCACTCAGACACACACGCGCGCTCAGACACACACACTCACTCAGACACACACTCACTCAGACACACACTCACTCAGACACACGCACTCAAACACACACTCACTCAGACACACACTCACTCAGACACACACACTCACTCAGGCACACTCACTCAGACACACACGCACTCACTTAGACACACATACAGGCGCACTCAGACACACACACTCACTCAGACACACACACACTCAGACTCAGACGCGCTCAGACACACTCGCTCAGACTCACACGCGCTCAGACACACTTACTCAAACACACACGTGCACTCAGACACACAATTACTCAGACACACACTCACTCAGACACACACTCACTCAGACACACACACGCACTCAGACACACACAAGCACTCAGACACACACTCACTCAGACACACACTCAGACACACACACACTCAGACACACACACTCACACACGCGCGACCGACCACGCACTCTCTCACTCGATCGTAAACTGCGGCGTCTGTAATGAAAATGCTTCGGCAGGCAGACAGGCTGCCCGAATAATTCCCCTTTCTGTCTGTCTCTCTCTCTTAAAATCGTCCGTGGAAATAATAACAATCATGCGTGTGTGCGTGCGTGCGTGTGATACGGGCCAGGTACGTAGGCACTGCATATGTATGATGGCGCGATAAACCAACCACGCCACCTCTCGTCGTAGCCCCACGCACCCCCCCCCACCCCCACAAAACACGGCCGAACCAAAAACATTAAACAAAAAGCGACGTGCGCTCGATTAATAAAGACCGGATAATAGATCCGTCGTCCCGTCCTCAAATTACTGTATTCGTTCCGTTTGCCCACGAAATAAATAAAAAAGGCGGGTCGGTTACTAATATTAACAACAACAATATAAACTCGTTTGGGTAGCAAACGCTCCCGCTTGACCATTGTTTAACAACAGCACAAAAAGGCCCCCTATTTAAATGGCTTTAACAGAGTCGAGATGACTGATGCGCCTTTCGCTTTGCCCGCGTGTATTGGCTAACCGCATACCACATGGCGCTGCCACGTGACCTCGCCGTACCAGCGAGAGAGCCGTGCAGTTGTAAATCTGTGGATTTATGTCGTCGTAATTCACGGATTTCTCCCGAGTTTTTTCCCGAGAAATAAAAAAAACGTTTCTGCATGCAAATCATTAGGGCCAAAATATGAATTCTGCATATTACATGAACGCTCTGTTTTCTAAATATGCGTCGGAAAACTCCGCGTATTTGTCCGCCGGAGGTTTACCCGAAGCGCCCTGCGGAGGAGCCTACCCGGGCGAGAGCTGCCCGACTGCGAACGCCATCTCGGCACCCTCAGCCGCCTCATCCACCACCACCTCCTCGTCATCATCATCATCATCCTCGTCGTCCTCTACCTCGTCTTCCCCTTACGCAGCAGCCAGCGCGCTCTACCACCACCACCACCAACAGCAGCAGCAGCAGCAGCACCATCATCATCATCCGCAGCAGCCACATCACCATCACCACCCAGCCTCCCTTTACGCGTCGTCGGGCTTCGGTCTCGAGCGTCTGGGAGCGGCGGCCGCCGCCTCGCTGCACGGCTTGCAGTTCGCCTACGAGCACGGGGCTCTCCACGCCGCGGCCGCCGCCTACGGGGGGGACCCGGCGGCAAAGCGCGGCGACGTCGAGGTGGTGGGGACCCCGGTGGCTGGCAAGCACCACCAGCAGCTCCACCACCACCAGCACCAGCAGCAGCAGCTGCAGCTGCACCAGCAGCAGCACCATGCTGGGCTGCCCAGCGGAGTGCCCATTTACCCGTGGATGCGCAGTACAGGTATTTGTTGTTTGTGTTTGTTGTTGTTGTTGTGATTCCGGCTACAAGCGGCAGCGAGAGACCCGAGTCGAGCGACCGGTCGGGGGCAGATCGAGAGAGCGGGCGGGCGGGGGAGAGACCGAGAGACCGTCCCGGGGGGAGGCCGAGAGACCGGGCGGGCGGGGGAGAGACCGAGAGACCGTCCCGGGGGGAGGCCGAGAGACCGGGCGGGGGAGACCGAGAGACCGTCCCGGGGGCAGGCCGAGAGACCGGGCGGGCGGGGGAGAGACCGAGAGACCGTCCCGGGGGGAGGCCGAGAGACCGGGCGGGGGAGACCGAGAGACCGTCCCGGGGGGAGGCCGAGAGACCGGGCGGGGGAGGCCGCGCGTCGTTCGCCTTTGTTTTGCCTTGCGCGCCGCCGGCTCCCCTCCCCGCGTCTCCCTCCCAGCGTCTCCCTCCCCGCGTCTCCCTCCCCAGCGTGTCCCCCTACTCCCCGCGTTCTCCCCTCTCTCGCCGCGCGTCTATGGCCATTGTTAGCGGAAGCGCAGACAGCGCGACATCTGTGCGGGAGACGTCCGCCTGCGATTTGTGTTCCCGTCGTCGACGCGACAGGGAGACGACGTCGTTGGTGCATAGGCACCCGCTCGAGGACGAGCGAACATTGTTGGTGTTGGTGGTTGGTGTGGTGGTTGGTGTTGGTGGTGTTGGTGGTTGTTGTAGTGGTGGTTGTGGTGGTTGGTATGGTGGTGTTGGTGGTTGGTGTGGTGGTGTTGGTGGTTGGTGTGGTTGGTGTGGTGGTTGGTGTGGTGGTTGTGGTGGTGGTGGTTGGTGTGGTGGTGTTGGTGGTTGGTGTGGTGGTGTTGGTGGTTGGTGTGGTGGTGTTGGTGGTTGGTGTGGTTGTTGTGGTGGTTAGTGTGGTGGTTGTTGTGGTGGTTGTGGTGGTGGTGGTTGGTGTGGTGGTGTTGGTGGTTGGTGTGGTGGTGTTGGTGGTTGGTGTGGTTGTTGTGGTGGTTAGTGTGGTGGTTGTTGTGGTGGTTGTGGTGGTGGTGTTGGTGGTTGGTGTGTGTTTTGTAGCAGCAATAGGCCGTCACTGACGATGTGTGGTCTACGCGAGAGGACTTTGTCTACAGTGCAGTATATAACAAGTATATACTGTGTGCGTTGTAGCTGATTGGCAACAGTGTTTGCATGTTGAACTTCTTTCGCACCGTACGTAGCCAACCGTGCTAATAGGAAGTGCGATTATTAGTTTCAGTAGTCGAAGACGACATGGAGGATTTTGTCATGCGCGCGCGTGTATGTTTATGTCTTTGTGTCGGCCACCACCAGTGACAATTATCTGAACCCGTGCTGAGCCTCTCCTAGGTCGACTCAGCCTCAAACTAGTACCGATCGCGTTGTGTACACATCGCCACAAAGGGAGACAAAGGCGGCCGGGAGTGGTTTTGGCCCCCGCCCCCTCTCGTGTGTTGTGCCGGCTAAATTAAAGCGCACGCTAGCGCTTGTCCCAAAAAGTATATCAAACTCGACGGTGTATGGATGTATGCTGTGTGTGCGTGTGTGAGTGTGTGCTGTGTGTGAGTGTGTGTGCGTGAGTACATGCACAATACAAGCTGCGTGCCGATTTCGATGCGAGGGAGTTGGTGGCGCCGTGGTTGAGCGCGCTTTGCGCTGCGAACCCGGCGTCTCCCGCGAGTTCGATTCGCGCTCACGGCGTTCCAAAACACCAGCGACGAGATTGATGTGATCCCGAACTACGAGTGGAGAGACAAAGGCGGCCTCGTGGTTGTCCGGCCTTAATAAGGTCCTCGCTTTTTTGTTTGTTACATCACCTGACCCCCACCCCCCCCCCAACAGTCTGTGCGGTCGCACAAAGAGAGGGAGCAGCTTTTGTTACAAACTAAACACAAAATCCCTCCGCGGTATTTAATGCGGCCGCTCCACTCTCTGCCCTCGTTCCTGGTGTACCACAATGAGCGATCGAGAACGACCGTCGCCGATTAAGTGTGGTCCCGTTGACGTTTCATTCGCGCGAATGAACTGGATTCGGTGTACGCTTTTACTCGAGTTAACTGGGACACTCCGTGCCACGAACACGACGCAACCAACCAACGTCAAACGCGACGATGTCCCGTAATGTTCGCCCAGGCCCCGTCGCCTCCGAATGTTACGCGCAGCATCAATAATTGACGTCTCTAGCATCATTTGAGTTGCGTTAGCGCGGCGATATGATGATGGCCGGTGTTACGTAGCAAGCCCCTGGCTGTATCCATCTCCAATCGCGTACTCCGGTGCGGGAGGTCTCGATTGTTTTACGCGTCGATGCCGGCGTAAGGCACTACCACTGGAGTCTTCGGTACGCATGTGTTATGGATGTCGAGCTTCTTTCGCACCATACTTAGCCAACGGTGATACTCCCATGTGCCTGGCTGTGTGCACTCTACTTGTGTGCAATATTCCTCAATACTATTGTACCCCATATTCTATATGGCATAATAGATGTGTGTGTGGGGGGGGGGGGGTATTTACATAATTCCCCCAGCAACAGTGTTGCGGACTGGTATAGACCCATGACAGTGGTTTTGTTATGGCGGTACCCACCCCCTCTATCTCCCCCGGCCGCCCCACAAGCACAAGTGAGGTTACTAAGGCCACGTTACCGAGAGAGATCGCGTGCTCACGCCTCCAGTCACCGCGGTGTTAGAGCAGGGCATTCGTTTCATGTTGTGTGTGTGTGTGCACTATCCACAACCCACCCACCCCCCCCCCCCCATCTTTTTTTGCAACGTGGCACGCTGACATTTCCCACATTCGACAACGTCTGTCTACCTGCACGGTGTCCGTGCCGCAGCCTGCGCCCCACAATGTTGAGCAGCAACCCGCAGGCCAATCGAGATCTGGCTTCAACGGCGATGACATTACGCCACGCAGATATTCGCTCGCCTACACTCATAGACCACCAGCAGTGTTGTTTAGGTGAGGGCGGCGGGGTGATGTAGGGGAGAGGTATTTCCACTAAAATGCGTTCCCGAGTAGAAAAAAAATTCTCCATTTCCCTTTCGTCTATTATTTGTTCTCCCCCCCCCCCCACCAACTTGAATCGTCACGAGGAAAACGCGTTCCACGACGCGCGGAGTTTCCCGTGAATACGGCGCGAGCGCTTCGCCGCGCAGCGCTCGACTTGGCCACACGGCGGCCAGCTCCACTCGCGATGTCGCGAACTCTTCACCCCCCGCCCGCCCGCCCCGCCCCCCTCTCTCTCTCTCTCGCTGCTGCTGCTGCTGGGCAATGGGCGCGTGCGTCTCTGTCTGTGTGAGGGCGTTGTGTGCGTACGGAGAGCGGTGGCGCAGCGCTTAGCGCTGAACCACTGTGCTACGACGACCACTACCCCCCATCACCAGGACCCCCCACCCACCCACCCGTCCCCAGTTCGATGCCCGCTCACGGTCACCAACACCAGGGACGATGATCTGAAACCGGTCCTGAGCCCTCTCCCAGGTCGACTCGGCCTCAAATGAGTACCTGGTGTGATGTGTAAACATCACAACTGGGGAGACAAAGGCGACCGGGCGTGGTGCTGGTCACACCTCCCCTTCGTGTGCCGTGTTGGCCTTCATAGGTCAACGTTAACAGCACTTGCCCCAACAGCACGTGAAGGCTATTCGAGGGATCTTTGTCTTTGTATGTACAGTGTGTAAAACATTTGGCATGTTTACTTTAATATTAGAGTGCGTTTTGTGTGTGCGTGTGTGCACGCATGCCTGTGTGTGTGGGTGTGTATGCTTCTGAGTGTAGAGTATGTTGTGTATGTGTAGGGAGCGGTAGAGTAGGGGTTAGTGCACTGCGCTACACACCAGGCGACCCGAGTTCAAATCCCGCTCACTACCAATAACAGCGAATATTTGAATCGGTCCTGCGCCTCGCCTAGGTCAATTCAGCCTTAAATGCGCACCTGGTGCAGTGTGTAGCAAACAGCACTGGGGATGCAAAGGCGAATGGGGATGGTATTGGCCACCCACGCCCTCGTGTGCCGTGCCGGCCTTCATAGGACCTCGTTAACAGCACTTGTCCCGACAGTCCTAAGGCTATAGGGGGAATCTTTGTGTTTGTTTTGTCTTTGTGTGTGTACAGTGTTTGTATGTATACCGAGTTGGGAGTGGCCGTGCTGTGGTTCGTGCTCTACGCTCAGTTGCCAGCCACCTGGGTTCAATTTCCGGCAATGTGACCGATGATTAGAATGCATACATTTATCAGACAGCCTCGCTGAGTCTCTGGGCCAGTGCTCTCAATTTCAGGGCCCACGGCCTTCAGTGCGGCCCCTGACGTGCGGCACGTGACAACACACGGCACGTGACGTCACACAGCACGTGACGTCACACAGCACGTGACGTCACACAGCACGTGACGTCACACAGCACGTGACAACACAACACGTGACTGACAACACACAATACGTGACGTCACACAAAACGTGACAACAACACGTGACTGACAACACACAGCACGTGCCAACACACAGCACGTGACAACACACGACACGTGACGTCACACAGCACGTGCCGTCAAGCCCAACAATGGTGTCAAATGTGTGACCGCCATGACGCTGATGCCTTATCGGAAGAAGTGGCCTCTCCTCTGAAAGTTCGTGAAGAACACTGCTCTCGACTAACTCGCATGAGCTTCATGCTTCAACACGGTTGACCATTTCCATGAATGTGTGTTTGGCCGATGGGAGAACGTTTCAGAGTGCCTGGAGAAAACCCATAAATGTGAGGGGGATAGCACTTGACGGTCAAAGCTTCTCACAGATGGATTCAGCCCATTGCCGGACTGCCATCTCGTGCCCACGTCTCAGAACCAAGTCTGTAACACCTGTTATTAGTCTCTCCCAGACAGTCGTCTCCCAGTCCCACGACTAGCCACGGTCAACACACCCCTGCTTTAGCTCACGACATCTGGCGATATCGGGCTCACTTGTGCTTGGCCTCCTCCTCGGTCGACTCAACCTTATACGATCTTGG